AAGCGTCTCACCCCGACATGTGCCCGGCCTCAGAAATTTCCTTCCGAATCAGAAACGATTCAAGCCGTTTCTCGACGATACGTCAACTTGAAAAACTACAGTCAGTCGCTGTGCTACATGACGTTGGACGTCGGCGTCGGCGACATGTCCCCTTTGACCCCAAAGACACTTCTTCCTTCGCTGTCACACAAAACGCAGCAGACCGTGATTCCGCATCGTCGCAGCGGCTCGAATTACGCCAGCATCGATCCGACCCGCACCAAGGCATTGCACTGTAGCAGTACGAACAGAAACGCGGACGTTTTCGTGAAGCGTACACGTCATGACTGTCTTTCCGACCATTCCAGGTGAAATACATGCCGACTAATAGTCGATCGACTTTCTCCTTCCCGGTTTCGTTCGACGATTCTCTTTCTGATCTCGAGACCGTGGTGCTGAAACTCAAATGATCTGTGTTTATATATACAAGTAACGATGAGAGGCGGGAGGAAGATTTGCTTGTGACTGTGGTTCCTATGATTATTGAATCGAAACTTCTTAGTCACTGATGATCTTGGCATGGCGATTTCGTCGGTCAGCTTCTTGAATGTCATCCGTTTGAGCTGCTCTCGTTTATGCTATTGTTTTCTGTCTTTGACGCATTTTCTGCCTACTCATCAGCGACGTACTCTCCCGTTCTCTTAGGGTTACCCTTTGCGAGTGCTCAGTTGCAGGGTTTGATGATTTACTGCACTTAGCGAACCGATCGCCCCGTTCAGGTAATTTTTGTTTCGAAATTTGTGACGTGCGCGGTCAGTTGGGTGAACATCCGTTTTTATTTTTTTACGTTTTTCTGTTTTAGCATTTTGCTATGGTTCACAGTCTTTGCAACGAAGCTTGCTCTTGTAGGTCAGCTAATGATGTGCCACAAATTTTGTTTTGTTTGAATTTGTGTTCATAAATTCAAAGTAGTAGAGAAATAGAAAAATGCTGATCGTCTGTTTTCGCCTTTGTGCATTTTAACCTTTGTTCATGTAACTGCAAATAGTATTAAATAGGAAAAATAAAAACACACCAATTCAAAAAGCAAGCACCCATTTTTTGTCAGTCTGAAGAAAAAATGGGACCGCTAATGAACATACATGATATGTTCACAAGAAACATCCTGCAGGGAAACAGAACTCTCGCCCTTCTTTTCATCGCCCTTTTATCTCAACTGGCAAAAGAGTTCCGGATTCATACAGCACGCGACAGAGGAGAGCGAACGGAAGTCATTAGCGGAAGAAATT